AGAATCTTGGTGACAGTTTTTTAATTGCTGGGGTGAGAACTGTGGCAGATACAGTGTTCCTCCTTCTCTGGGATGTGGAAATTCCAGCCTGAGATGTTTCGTCATTTCGAACTATGTGCCAAGGAGGATTCTGTGAAGGGATCAGACAAATGCTTGAGGCAGGGGCTGCCAGGATCGTGCCACCATTTTGTGTTCCCTCCTTTCTGCCTAGCAGGACCTGCACAAAATGGCTTCCGTTCCAGCCACATTTCACCTTGAAACGCTTCAGATCAAGAGTCTTGTTTCGGGCGAGGCCAGAAACCGAAAGCTGCAGCCGTGCACCGGTTACGCTGCTTCGCTTGGGAGCAGTTGAGAAAAGATCTGCCAGAGAAGCTATGCTCACCAGCCACCCAGGGAGCCCAAGGTCCATGCAAAAAAAATAAAAATAAAAAAAAGCTGACCTGGGCCAGGCGGAAAGCAAGCTAGCAAATTTGCTTCCCTCACAGGTGCCTCAAACACACGCCGACAGGCTGAACTCTCTTGAAGCACTGAGTTGTGAGGGGGAAAGAGCCACATCCTGTGTGTTTGTGGTGGCACCATGATTCAGGATTTGCTGCTTAAAAGCAAGCAAATGGCTGCTTTGCTTTCCAGCTGAGATTCTCTTTGTTTCTGTCAACCCTTGTGCAGTGAGGGCTGTTTTTGTGGATGAATTATATATGAATATAATGTATAATATTCAGTTTACTCGACATCCAGGTTTGCGGGAAGGATCTGACAACATTCACTCTCATCCCGCTCCTGTAACCACCCTGTGAAGTTGTTCAAGATGAGATGTGACACGGCTCGACATTGTGTGGGGGATTGGAACCCAGATTTTCCTTATCCGCACTGGACATATTTTTAATGTTTTCCAAGTCTGTGTTAGCACCGTATCCCTTAGAAATGAAGTTAAAAATAAAATAAGAAATAGAATTCATAACAGATATAGGACCGCTAATAAGGCAGAATATACAGTAGAAGGAAATATAGTTTTTTTCATTGTGGATGACAAGGGGGGGGATTCCTTATATACAGCAATCATAATCTGCAGCTGCCCATGAAATGAAACAATTAAATAGACACAATTTAAACATCAGTGGTGGACTGTGAAGTCGAAAAATTTTAAATAAGATCAGATTAAAAGTTAGTTTAAGAAATCCACAGAGTGACACAAATCCTATGTGACTGCCATGTGAATTTAAATCAATTTCTTCAATCCAATAAGGATTCCAATTTTTTTTTCAGTAATGTAACTACGCTCTTATAGTCTGCTCCACGCAATTCCATTTACATCTGGGAACTTTGCAGAAAGCACTCAGGTTTGGTCTCCTGTGCATGGCTGGTTTCCCAAAAGAACTTTGACCATGCTCTACTGTGCTCTCTCTGCCACCAAAATAACATCTGGATCCAGCCATCAAAGTGCTCTGTGGTGTCCCAAATGTAGAGTCTCTCTCGTTCTCTCTCTCCCCCACTAGATGCACTTTTAAATAATAGTTTTCATACTTTTGACATTTTTAAGAAATGGGCAACAACTGGGAGAGTTCATAAAGTCATCATCCTGAAAAGGAAGTGGCTAAATTTGGACATCAAACTTTTGGCTGTATTTCAGAGCAGCAGAATTAATGCCACATAGCAAAAGATGGGGAGGGTAAGAGCCGTGAGCTTGGGAGAGACAGAGTGAAAGAAAATGGATAGGTAGAGAAAAGGGAAGTTTTCTCTTCAGTAACCTTCCTCCTCCTTCTGCCCCACTAACCGGGACTTACGTTTTAACTATAAACGTGATGGGTTTTTTTCATGATTCTCCACTGCTCCCTGCTGGAGAGCAGCAATAAAATAAAATAAAATAAATCAGGTGGTTTCCAAGAAATCAGACAAAGGCAGAGGACGGTCTGAGCAAGTCACGAGGCCCCCATGAGTATTTTCACACACACCCACACAACTCAAACCATGTTGCCATTGGCATCTGGTGTATGTTTGGAAGAGAGGGAATAGGATATAAAAATAAGAAGATCCTTGAAGAACAATTATCACCATAGCAAAGGGTGAAGGGTGCCAGAACTAATTTCTTTCCATTAACCTGTCTCTGATATGTTTTCAATTAACCAGGGTCAAGGAAATCCAATACTGTATATACAGTGGTGCCTTGCTTAACGAGTGCACCGTACAACAACGAAATCGCATAGCGATCCCTTTTTTGGGATCGCTAATGTGATCGCTCAACGAGCTTTAGATAGGGCGAAACTCGCTTTGCGAAGATCGGTAAGCGTTTCGCTTACCGATCTTCGCAAAACGAAGCCCCGACGATCAGCTGTTCGGCGGACAAAATGGCCGCCGGAAGCCCCAAAATGGCCACGTGCAGCGTTTTCATGCCCTCCCCTCGCTTAACAAGGGCGCGAAAATGGCTGCTGGCCATAGGAAACTTCGCTGAACGGTGAGTTAAGGAGCCTTTTGGAACGTATTAAACAATGTTTAATGTGTTCCAATGGCTTTCCCTGTCCCAATTTCTTTCCATTAACCTGTCTCTGATATTTTTTTCAATTAACCAGGGTTAAGGAAATCCAATATATATTTGATTATTTTCAGCTGAAAGCAAGCAAAGATAATAGACGCAACTTTGCCCACCAAACTTGGGGAGAGCAGCCTTTTCAATTAACCAGGGTTAAGGAAATCCAATATATATTTGATTATTTTCAGCTGAAAGCAAGCAAAGATAATAGACACAACTTTGCCCATCAAACTTGTGGAGAGCAGCGTGCTGTGCTCATTTTACAGAATATAGTTTTATAAGTTTAAATGAGAAGAGGGAGGCAAGGGGTGGGGAGAAGGAGGGGGATATACTTTTATAAGTTTAAATGAGAAGAGGGAAGCAAGGGTTGGGGAGAAGGGGGGGGAAGGAGAAGGAGGTTCTGCAGGTGTTGGGACTGTGGACAATAATTCATTCTTCCCGTTTATATATTGCGGAATGGCACAGCTGAGAGAAGATGCCATATATTACGCTGGAAGAAGGAGAAACAAATACACTCAACGTCATGGAGAAACAACTAAGGGGTGGTCTTGTGTCACCAGAGGTGATACGAGGTTCCAGTCGGCATCCTGGTTTGTTGCTGAGTTGAGTTACAATGTGTGTATCATTCTTACCAGGCCTGCTATTTGTGAGGAGGCAAAGCAGCTTCGTCCCCAAATCTGGGACACTGATGGGGTGTCATTGACCCGAAACGCTTTTTTACTTCAGTATGGCTGTTTAATGACAGAACTCATCAAATAGCAGAGCCTCTGTCCAACACCTTTGAACCCCCCATCATCCAGTCATTCTTCCCCTTACGAACAGGAAAATAGGCTTTCAGTGGTGCATCAGCGCCCTCTGGTGCCCAGAGCAAGAGACGCCCTTTCTTCTTTCCCAGAAAAGGCAGCTCTGCTCTGCAGACCTTGAATCTCTCCTTTAAAAATCCCCTTCCGGCACTTTCTTATCCTACACTGGGGCTGGTGAGCAGTCCATGGCCATCGACGGCATATTTCCACACCCATAGTCCGACTGTCCACTTCCCCAGCAAGTTGCCGCAGGAAGAAATTAATCCAAAGATTAACGGATTAATCTCTTCCAAACATTAACGAAGAAACTGCATCTGTTGAATGTTTATCTGCCTTACAACTCTTAAAAAAAACAGGATCGAAGCATACATGTTTACGTAAAGTATCTAGTTGTTCTTACAGTCTATGCTGTCAAATTGCTTCTGCTTTATGGCAACTTTATGGATGAGGCGCCTCCAGAAGGTTTGGTCATTAACAGCCCATCTTGCAAGTCACCCATCTTGCAAATTAGTAACTGTGGCTTCCCTAACGAGTAAATATGTCTCGTGTTTGGACTTTCTCTTCTCCTGCTGCCTTCAACATTTCCCATTTATTTTGTAATTATTTGAAAAGTTTAGGAAGACTCTCTCATCGGCCTTTCAAGTTGATTGTTTTCTTTAAAATCAACCATGGAAGTGTCCCAGAAGGATGAAGTGTCTTGCCTCTGTAATTTTTGTTTGTTTAAATATTCCCATTGCTGATACAATAGGCTTCTATCCCTTTATGGTTCTGATACAACACATACATTCATAAGGGATTCCCACAAGCTGACGCTTGTGAGAGGAAAAGACTCTTACTGTGAACACATCCCTCTCAGAGACAGTGCACCGTGGTACTGTGGGGTCTCTACTTAAGAACTGTAATTATTTGAAAAGTTTAGGAAGACTCTCTCATCGGCCTTTCAAGTTGATTGTTTTCTTTAAAATCAACCATGGAAGTGTCCCAGAAGGATGAAGTGTCTTGCCTCTGTAATTTTTGTTTGTTTAAATATTCCCATTGCTGATACAATAGGCTTCTATCCCTTTATGGTTCTGATACAACACATACATTCACAAGGAGTTCCCAGAAGCTGACGCTTGTGAGAGGAAAAGACTCTTACTGTGAATACATCTTTCTCAGAGACAGTGCACGGTGGTATACCTGGGAAATCTTAAGTAGAGACCCCACTGTATAGTACCTGGGAAATTTATTTACAGTACAGTATTTTATTTTTATACTGCAGTAAGGCCGGGCACCAAAACCCAGAGGGTGCGATACTCTGCAGCCGGAAGGACGTAAACTCACCATCCCCGAGTGTGTATCTCACAATCTGGGAGAAAAAATGACAGAATTGTTCCTAACTGCTCCTCCCCAGAAAGAAGAGAACAAAAAACAGGCAGGTCAACCGGGCTGTGCCGTGCTCAGGCCTAGCCATTCCTCTCTGTCCGTGCCAATCTCACACGATCCAAACTTGATCAACACAGTACTGAGGACCCAGCGACCAATCTCTACCTAGTTACAGCTCTGGGACCTTACCAGGGATGGAGGAACAACCAACTCAGTATCCAAGTGCTCCTACCCAACGAGCTTTCCGGAGAAGTCCTGAACAATTATTCTTTACAGTATGGATAAAAAATGGCAATAACACACAATAATACCACAAATACAGAATCTGATTTATTCTCTGTTTATTTCTTCAATGGGCCTACTCTTGGTTGTGAATTAATACTAGTTTTCAGCCAATTCTTCTAGCTTTTTGGGTGTGTGTGTTTGTTTCATTTTTGGACATCATGTATCCTCCCCTTCAGTAAAAAGAAAGTGTTCCCAAGTCAGATTACAAAATGAATATCAAATGGGCGAACACCCAAGTCACTGATAAGTCACAGCATCTCTGTTTATGTAGCACTCCAATACAGAAAATTCCTTTTGGTTGATTTGATCTTGTTAGTTCTTCCGCTTCTTTCCAACTTCTTGAGTCTCTCCCTCGTCCATTCAAAGCCAACTCTTTACTGTACAAGTAACACCTGCAGCCCCTAAAAAGCTCTCAGCTCGCCCAAGGCTACCCAGGTTGGCTCTTCTTCCAGGAGGCACAGGTAGGACTCGAACTCCCAACCTCTGGCTCACCAGCTGGAGGCCTAAACTCACTGAGCGATCAAGTCAGCTTCTTTGCAATCAAAAGGGACCACAAATATAAACTAGCAATAGTCAGTTTGGAGTCACTGAAGAAGTCACAGTGAAAGAGAGGAGAATCCAGAAGGAGCTGCTTTCGTTGCTGGAAGTCCCTCATTCCTGGACGACAAGGGTCACTCTACAAAAAAGGAGAAATAGGAGATGAGGTTGAAGGATGAACCTCTAAGAATTAACCCCACATTTAGACAGAGGAATGACATCTCTCTCTCAGGAAGAAAAAGAAGCACATGGGGACAGGTGTGTGTCCTCACTGTGATCTTGTAAACTGTTGGGAAGAAGCTTCAGTCTAACCCACCTTTGCCAGTGCTGTCTGACCCAGAGTCACTTGCTGAAAAAGGAAAGGAAAGGAAATCAGGATCTTTGAAGTGGTCTCCTCTTTTTCTTCCTTTCTCTCAAACATGAACCAAGGCCATCCCAAGCCATTTGGCTGCTTGGAGCGAAAGACAAGATACCGCCGTCTCTTCAATCTTCATACAATGGTTACTAACAACAGAGGCAGGTCCCGAGCACCCTCCTTCCATGCCTTGATTGACTCCTTCCTGTCCATCACCCGGTGCGCGGCTGCACTTCATTTTGAGGGCCAGACGCCTCTCCTTGCAACTCACAGATCCGAGAAATGGCCTGGCCGGACACAGAACAGGGATCCTTTTTTAGGGGTACTGAAAGCTCCCTGAGAAGGCAGGGGCTTCCCTGACACCTCAAAGAACAAGAAGCCAAATGGGATTTATACTTCCGTAAGGAAAATGGTGTAAGCTGCAGCAATGCATGCACAAAACGAACAAGGTGCTGGTCGCGTTTCTGACTGCGCCCGGGACTGGATGCACGTAGCCGGTGACACAGCCACCCCTGCATTAATTAGCAACAAGATGGGATAAAAATACTTTCTATATAAAAAAATACATACACCTCAGCTGACTCTCCTTCATCTCAGAGGTCGAAAGAGGGAGGAATCACTGACCTGAGGCGGCTCGGTACCCATCTCGCCATTTCTCTGCAGAGAAAGAAACAAAGAGACTCATCAGTACCAGCCCTCAAGGTCATCCAGTCTCACCCTCTGCCCTCCAGAAGCCCACCCCCTATGTCTTTGTGGTTGGCTTTTTCTTAAGGGCCTCTGTGACCTCCACCCAGGTCATGAATATTCATATGCTATCTGCATAGACCAATGGGAGTGTTGGAGGGGCGGAGTCACGAGATATAAGAGACTGAGCAGGAGGAGCGATCGGGAGTTTTAGTTGCGGAGATTGAAAGTTTTGGAGTTTGGGCGAAGGTGCGGTGGTTGAGGGTGGATGAAGGAGGAGGTTTGTTAAGAGTTAACAACATTGCTTGAACTATCATCACATGTAATAATAAACAACTTCTGTTTGGTTCTTTTAAAATGACACATTGCCTGGACCTCGATCATTAAGACAGTGGTGCCTCGCTTAATGAGAATAATCCGTTCCAGCGAAATCGCTGTAGAGCGAAATCCTCATTAAGCGAAATTAAAAAATCCCATTGAAACGCATTCAAAACCCGTTCAATGTGTTCCAATGGGATGAAAAACTCACCATCCAGTGAAGATCCTCCATGGGGTGGCCATTTTCGGTGCCTGTAAAGTGAGGAATCCATCCAAAAACACAGCAGGGAGCCATTTTACACAGTGGGCGGCCATTTTGAAGCCGCCGATCAGCTGTTTTAAAAATGTCGTAATGAGAAGAATTGGTTCCCGAAGCAGGGAACCAATCGTCGCAAAGCGGATTTTGCCTATTAAAACATCGTTTTGTGATCGCAAAAGTGATAGCAAAACAGTCATCGTATAGCGGTTTTATCATTTAATGAGGCAATCGTTAAGCGAGACACCACTGTAATAGATAATGTCAGTTACTGTTGTTTATAGGACATGGATGGACAGTATGTGGGGCCAGATGGCATGGCTGCCTATCTTCCTCCTCTCTCTTTTTGTAGAATCATAGAATAGTGAAGTTGGAAGGGGCTATAAGGTCATCAAGTCCAACCCACTGCTCAATGCAGGAATACAATCAAAGCATATCTGCCAGGTGATCATCCAAGTTTCGTCAGCTCTGGTAAGGAAATGGCTGGGTCGCGGAGAGCGCGGCAACCCAGCAAGATCCCTATACTATCCCTGGCCCAAATCAACATGTGGATGGCCTCCAGACCCAGCTTCACCACCAAAGAGCGCCTAATAACCTCCAAGGTATTTCTATAGACAATGGCTAGTCTCCCCCCGCCCACCCCTCCAGTCTACTCTGGTGTTGGACTGCATAACCTGGATAGAATAGTAATAATAATATATAATGGTAGTCAATTCTGACTTATGGTGACCCTTTTCAGGGTCTTCCAGGAACAGAATATTTAGCAGTGGTTTTTCCTTCCCTTCTACTGGAGGTATTTTTGAGATGGTGCAGCTTGCCCAAGGCCACCCAGGCTGGCTCTTCTCTTGAGGAGCCCCAGTCAAGAATTCAACTCCCAGCTTCTGGC